GAAAATGGGCAACGATGTCTGTTGCCATGCTGGAAGGTGGATGGCAGATAACTATGAAGAGAGGAGACAAGAAAATGCTCTGATTTTATGTTTTGTTTCTTACTTTGATGCAGTGATACGTGATGCCGGCTGTGTATATGTGATGTTCCCACTGAATCAAAACCATTTGCACAATGTTTGAGTCAAAATTTTAAAATGTAGGAACCTTGTTTTTTCGCCCGCCCGCTCGCATTAGATTTGGAGTCTTCGGAGGATGTCATCCATAAAATTTACTTGCTGTGGCCTTACCAACGGTACCAATGTGGACACAACATATCTGTAGCGTTTCTGCCGGCTCGTGCAATAAATATCGTCTGCTGTCGCCTAGCGACCGGACGGATATGCGTACCCGAGTCTGTGTGCTGTTACCTAGCCGCGGTCGCTATTTGACATCAACAGTTGAAGAGTATCTTTAAAGCACGCAGCAGTTTGCCAGTCGCTCTCATTGTCGACAGTAAGTGTTGTGGAGAAAACAAGTGGACAGTTGCAGAGAAAAGAAAACTTCTTCAACACTGTAAGTTTAAAATTTTCTTATACCGTTAACGTTTGTAAGCCATATGTGAATATATTAACAAATTAGACGGAGCCAGCACATAAATACAAAATCTTCATCTAATTCTTAAAATTGCTGGAGCTTTTTTGAAATCCCCTATGGACACAACATGTATCTGTTTGGACTATCAAATCTATACGTTAGCTTACAAATAAGCTTTTTCTTGATAAGAAATGAGGACAGGTATAAGACAGGTGTGTAGGTACTGAAACAACAACGACTTGTATGCTAACCATTGATGATGTCTAGGGGGAATGAGAATACTAAACTAACAAGGAAGCTTTAAATACACGAGTACTTTTGTATCTATGGAGACATATACATGTGAAAAACACACTCAATTAGCATGAAAGTTCAAACAAGTCGCTGTGTTACCATTTCACTTTTTTCATTCAATTCCTAGTTACCGTATAGCGAGCTGTTTTTTCCGCTTTACATCGTCACACTTCTGAACAGCAAAAAAGGCCAATTTCCTAGAAATATATTTTTTCATAATGAGATGCATTGTGAACGGATGGTGTTGAATATGCACTTATTTTTTGAACAGCTATTTTGATCAGTCTGGGTCACAATCGATAGAATGTAACAAATTCATTTGTTTCCCTTTAAAACCGTTGTCTGCAACCAGCAATTTGGAAGGATTTGAATCGTGGATGCAAGATTTTATACTTTGTGAGTGTGAGCAAAAAGTGCTTTTAATTGTATATCGGACTAGCTTAAAGCAGCCCAACATGTTTTCAATTATCGAGTGTTGACCAAAAAGCTTGAGGGCTTGTCTTGTGACCACAGGTGGTATTTTTATTAGTCTGGGTAACAGGTAAACGCGCGGAACAAAATGATTTGTTTCTCCCGTCTAAAAAAAGCTCAGTATGAATCGGGGAAAGACCATTTCACTTCTGATTTTCGTAAGCGAAATATGATTCTGAAACATTCTGCTTACTCATTTACCCAAAACGCCTGAACGCTTGTCTTTGATTGTAAGGAAACTTCGCAGTGGGGTCGTGTGGGTTTACGGTAGCATATTCGGCCCAGAGTCAAGGGGTCGAGGGTTCGAATCCTGCCCGATGTCACCGATCTTGTACCCTTGGAAAAGGCACTTTACACGACTTTCCTCACTTCACTCAGGTGAAAATGAGTACCTAGCTTCGGTTAGGGACGTCCCTCGGATAGGACGTTAAATGGAGGTCCCGTGTTTGGGAGAGCCACACCCCACGCACGTTAAAGAACCCACCACACTTATCGAAAAGAGTAGTGGACCTTCCCGGTGTGAGTGGTTCAAACCTTACAGTCTGGTCTCGGGGTTGACATCTTGAAGAGGTGATAGTCACCTGTTATGTAAATCCTTCCACAAATGTGGTAAATCTTCATGAAATAAAATAAAATAAGATGAACAATTGTCAGAAAATTATTATTTTTCGTTGAAAGTAGGCCTCAGTACCGTAGAAAGATTGCATCGGGAAACGGATATTTTGCTCTTTGTGTGTGGTGGCGAAAAGTGTGTTTGGACGTTTATCAAACTAGTGTAAACCTGGCTGACACGTTTGTAATTGCGGCGTGTTGACTCAGGCGGCGGCAGTCATAAGCATAGCACTTGCCGTGTTTGTCGACATTACGAGTAACAGGCAAAACAAAGCGTTCGAACACGCAGCAAAACAGGTATTGGCTCGGACCCCCCCCCCACCCAAAAAGATTGACGCAACATGTGCGTAAACAATTTTACTACTAAAATCAAAGAACCCACATATTGTAGAAGAAGTGGGTAAATTCGTCTTCTATTGCCTAAAAAGACGAAGTCAAACCCAGTAAAACTACAAATTGTACCATGTATGTTGTAGAGTATAGTATAATGTTACGGACGTAGATATAGTCTCACTTACCACTGTATTTTCTTTCTTTTGTTGTTTGTAACTGCAATTAGCCCTCGGGCATGTATTTGCAATAAACTTTCTAATATATATACCACAGACGTAAAAATATTTTTCAGCCGTATATGGTTGTAAAGGACACATGGTTCATCAAAGGAACTCTTAACACTGACTTAAGTAACTCAGAACACTGGCTTATTAAACTTTGGACACTACATTGAGAAACTCTGGACACTGGCTTAAGAAACTCTGGACACTGGCTAAGAAACTCTGGACACTAGCTTAAGAAACTCTGGACACTACCTTGAGAAACTCTGGACACTAGCTTAGGAAACTCTGGACACTGGCTTAAGAAACTCTGGACACTGGCTTAAGAAACTCTGGACACTAGCTTAAGAAACTCTGGACACTAGCTTAAGAAACTCTGGACACTAGCTTAAGAAACCTAGGACACTAGCTTAAGAAATTCTAGACGCCATAACTTAAGAGACTCTGGACAATAGCTTATATGAAGCGGTTCTCTTGGTCAATTCACTGCCTCTTTTTCTTGCAGTATGTACGTATGGGTGTATCTCTACATGGAATATTATGCATAAACCTGCTCGAAATGCCATATGTGTCCCTGATACAGAGGGAATGATTTGGTGAACACCTTGCCGGAAGTTGTTCCCAAGCGGACATGAAGCCCTGAACAGTGGATGTCGTGGTTGTAAGGAAAGACGCAGCCATGTTTAGTGCTCTATCCAAACCTTTCACGCCCAGGCAAATTTCCGTCTCGTAAACGGGTGTCACCTTTCAGAACGGTACCGGTCGTCGCATTTCGAGGTACCGTCGACTGGTCGATGCCATATCCGAGCGTACCATAACTTTCCAAAAACGTATAAAACCTTAGCCTCCGTAGCAGGCTTATAGAACTGGGGGTTGGTGGTTTTCGGCTGTTTTCTGATTAGCCCAGTTTAAAAAAAAACGGGGGTAATTCAACCAGGCCGGCTATGTTGTCTATATGCAATCAGAAAATAGCACATAAAAGATCCCACAGACCCTGAAGACCCCCCAAACCCCCAGTTTTTGACATGCTATGGAGGCTAATAAAACCTGATATATACTGTAAAAAAAAGCAAAATTGGAATTGCAAATATAAGGGAGGATCAGGAAGAGTATTAGTGAAAAAAAAGCACAAGCTCGGATTCGAACCCCGGTCAAAAAGTGCAATTCAAAAACACTAACCTATACCCTAACACTCTCTATATATACATGCCACGAAAAATCATGTGCGGATAGACCATGTTGATATAATTAAAGTTAACCGTTCTGTGATATGGCATCGACCCTTTAAAAAGGCGGCGACCGTTTACGAGACGGAAATTACCAACGCCGAGTGAGTGTTTCACGATATCCAGGGTAGCCTGGCAACGCTTGGCAAGCGTCTCCCGGTTTGTTTAGCATCAAAGTCCCCTAGAGATAGTAACCTAGCAACCAGACAAAACAGTTTCTCCCATGATTTACACCAATAGACTCTCACCTCATTACCTGAATACCAGGCGTGGCCCTAAATCTTCATTTAGTCACATTACTTCTGTGGTAATGTCTTAGACGGAGATCGTAAATAAGATGCTGTTGTTGGGGGTAATAAAAGACGCGTCTAGCTGTAAATGTCTTAAGAAACGGATTGCCCCTTGTTAAGTTCGTTTGTGTATGTAGTTAGCCAACAGTAGGAGGAAACGTTTGTATCGCATAACCGGTAATCCGCCTTTAGGCGTAACATACCAGTTTTGTACATGTACGTACATGTACAAGCTGCGTAAGACCGGACTGTAAGGTTTGAACCACTCACACCGGGAAGGTCCCCTACTCGATAAGTGCGTTGGGTTCGTAAACGTGCGTGGTGTTTTAGCTCTCCCCAAACACATTTAACGTACTATCCGAGGGGCGTCCCTAACCGAAGCTAGGTACTGATTTCCACCTGAGTGAAGTGAGGAAAATCGTGTTAAGTGTCTTTCCCAAGGGCACAAGATCGGTGACATGGGCAGGATTCGAACCCGCGACCTCTTGGGTGTGAGCCGAGCGCGCTACCGACTGCGTCACACGATTGAGGTGTTTAATGGAACAATATGATAGGCGACACACCCTCGCCCATATACAGTCGACCAGAGTAAATGGTGAATGTAGAATAAAAGTCCCGTGTACGCAATTATAATTGTAAATTTCAAAACCCAAATTGATTTTAAAAATGGTATTAGAATAAGAGGATTTTAAAACTAATCCTTTTCAGATTGAAGTAATTCTTGTCAAATCTAAAGAAAAGTCCCTAAAGCAACATCACAAAAGATGTGTTTCTATGCTATGTTAGTTTAGGAAATCAAGGTTATAGAAATATCCTTTATTCTATCAGTCAGTTCTTAAGAGCCTTCTTTGTAAAAAAAATCCCGTATATTGTATTCATGATTTAATAGCGGACCAAATTGCATGCCTAGACGAGACAAGGATGCTCTAACACGAAGACGTCCATAAAAGTAATGATATCTCCTTTGTTTCCAGAGAAAAGGAACACTACCATCAGTTTCGCGATGAAGCACGTGGCCGTCTTACTCTGCATATTTGGTAAGTTTTCGTATTTTTTTACATTCTGTAGTCAACATCCCACCAGTGCCCAATTGTAATCTTTATGTAGATGCGACTAAGTAGGACGTATTTGCCCAGTACTGGACAAAATAGTGTGTGCATCAAACGGTAGAGAGCTCAGTACATTTCCTGTGGGGCTTTCGAATATGTTGATTTATTAGCTTTGTTAGCTTTCCTGAAAACTTTGTTGAAATACATTTTTTTGTGATGACGATCTTGAAATTGTTCTTGAAGGTGGTTGATGCGTTACTTGATTCACTGACTTGATTGTTTATAATTACTGACTTGTTGACTGATAGTAAATTGTGCGTGCCAATATTCTTTCGTAGGATTGGCAGCCGTATGCCAGGCGACAACTACTGCTACTGCAACTACTGACGCAACCACCGTAACTACAGTTGCCGCAACTACCAGGTCGGTTCCTGGTGGTCCCAATACGGCGACAACTACAGCAGGTGATTTTGTTTTCAGATGGTTTCATGCACGGCACGAAAACTGATATTCAACATTCTTAAGTGAACGTAAAGCCTTCAGGTTGTTGTTACTACGTATCACGAATATCATATCATTATTGAGTTTTGTTGTGTCGGCTGAAATATAACAGTTACTGCAATTACAGTATTAACTTAAATATTTATTCCTTTTTTTAGGTTCCGGTACCACCGCCTCCGGCACTGCAGCTGTGAGTAGTAATTTTTTCCGCGTACACTAAGGCCGTGTTAATTTGATTATATGGATGACATCCATGCGCGCATGAATTTTCGGCCCTTTCCTTTAAAAAAAAGTGAAACCATACTGTAGATCGTACAAAACAGTTGCAAAATGAGCAATTATATGCCGTTAGTTACAGAATAATATTGGAAAACGACACCAATGTCGTAGAATGCCGAAATCTAACGAAAAAGACGAAAATGTAAAGAAATGAAATTGAAGACTAGATTATTCACCATACCATACTCTGTGTCATTTGTTCAACCTTCATGACCATGTAGATTTTATAATGAAAGCAACTTTTATTTTGTCAAACTTTTTTATTCGCACGCGCGCATCAGTTTTGGGGTTCCCAGAGAATGACATCCATCAAATCAAATCAACATATGGCCTAACGGTACTGCAGAATGGGCTTTATTGTCTTTATAATAATGTTATACCTATCCTGGTGTATACTCGTGATTTGCATACCTTCATGGTGTGTAGCTTATTTGATAATTTGGTGAGAATCCAGCACAACCAATGCCAAACGTGTGGACATTTTGAGATCATTCTTTAGTATCATTTTGTAGATACTTATTCATGTTTCTACATATATTCAACGAGTTTCAGGCAAAGAGCACAATTACTTATATAAAGCATTCTACTCAATAACGTAAACTTAAAACGAGAGTAAAACACAATAACAAAATGCATACATATATTGTGGCTAAAAATGAGAATAAACAAGACTAGTTGGTGATCTATCAATTACGAGAATCTACCTCTCTTCACTTCGCCCAGGTTAAAATAAGTATTGTATTGTCCCATGTGTTGGTTGTGGCATTGATATAAGTTGGAAAAAAACTTGAATGTCCCGTTACCACGTCTTGTGATTACTTGTTGGAAGATTAAAAAAGATAATCTACCTTTTCAGTAAATACAGGTATACACTTAACTCTGTTTGACGTAAGATTTTGTGGCAATTTGAGATTATATTACCTCAAACAGTCCGTGAAGGATGAACAAAATTTTAGTTGCTGATTTACCGTCCATGTTTTTTTTTTTTGTGGACAGGGAGGTACTGCCGCCGGCGGAGTAGTTACTACTGACGCTGGTACTGGAGCGGGAGCAACAACGGTGAGACAGACGTACATATTTGTTCATGTATCTAACATGTAGGAGAAGCTAATATATAGTGGCGTCGGGTGGTGTAGTGGTTAGAGCGTTCGACTATGAACCGGGAGACCCGGGTTCGATTCCGAGTCGTACTCGGGACATGTCTGAATATGCGCCCCGACGTTGTGCCCTTGGGAAAGACACTTAACACGACTTTCCTCACTCCACCCAGGTGTGAATGGGTACCTGACTTCGGTTGGGGAAAGTGGTATTGAGGTCACCCGGCGCCGAATGGCTGCCGTATAGACCCTAGACCCTTGCGACAGCTCCACAAAAATTTGTGGAACAAATATGTGTATTATTTAATTGTTGTGATTTGTCTTGATTATTATGTAATACCCTGCAATGCCTGCATCAATTCAACCGTATAAAGGCTGCGACTGCACGGGTACTGTTTGGACAATAAAAAAAATTATTATAAAATAAATTTATATGAAGTAAATGATGTCTACGATGCCCTGCTGGTCATTTACACCAACTTCAGAAGTATAGCTAGATGTAGTTTGAAGTATACTGCATAGTCAGAAAACGATTTTGAAAATGGAATAAAATATTGTATTTTAACCTTTAGATATATACCTCATGAATTGATCGGAGGTACAATAAACTAACGTTTTACCTGCATTTTTTTTACTCTATCAGAAACGTTTTCTGCATTTTTCTGACCCTATGAATGTAGGCCTCCACTGTGTCGTGCCTGAACTGTACTGGGGACGACACCAGTGCTTGTGGAACAGGTACCGGCATCACAACCAAAGTGGACTGTGACGCATGCTGGGTGAGAATCGTTTTGTGTAACTACAAAAAATCTGTCTACATGTCCCTAGTTTTTTTTTTTTTTGACACCGCCTTGTTGGCTCTAAAAGAGCAGCACAGCTCACACCGAACACGTGCACGATAGTTTCAGAAAATACAGATTTTGAATGTTCCCTGAGTGTTTTGCATTATCAATTAATTGTTTCGTAGTAAATTAATTGCTCATGATATTTACACTATCTATTTCAGGTGTACCGTGAGGAAAACGCATCTGGTAACGTTACCATCACCCGTGGATGTGCACAAAGCAGTGACACATGCACTACTCAAACTCAGTCCGAGTATTGCACCACAGCAGGCGGCATCACTACGTGCCGGCAGTGTTGTACGACGGCCGACTGCAACGGAAGCGGCCTTACGCTCACAGGCAACAGTGGCGCGGGTGACGTCACCGCTAGCGTTGTCGTCACCATGGCGACCGCGCTGTTCGCCATCTTGGCGCTGTGGCAGTGACGTCATCAAAACGTGTGTGGTGTTGATGACGCAACGCAAGTTGTGATGACATCACTACTACGTGTGGGAACGTCCACGGGTCACGTGATGACTTAGGTCTGACGGCCGTCGACGTGGACGATTTCTGCCAAAATTTACATACCTTTTGAGACAGTCTTACAAGTGTCTGCTAAAAAATGTTATTCAAGTGACAAAGCGATCGGTTTCTACTTCCTGGAGGCAAGTCGTCTCTGATGCTGAGGTCACATTTCCAAACCGGGGCCCGGCCGGGTAGCTTTTGGGATCGAAAAGTACGATATAAAAGTCAACAAAACACAGAAACGTTTGTGATAATAATCTTGGACACTATATCTATATACTCTTGATATGAATTGTTAATTTTTCGTTCATACAGACAGCCCGGCCGGGCCCCGGTTAGGAAATGTGACCTAAGCATAAAAGGAACGCTTGTCGTGTGAGAGACAAAAGGTGGAGACATGAAAACAAACTACAATATCTTTTACCATGAAGCTATCATTTGAATGATGGTAAGAAATTCAAAACAAGGCCGACCTACAAAGTTGGTCAATGACACAACATGCTCGTACAGATACATCCGTCATAAGACGAGAGCAAAATGACGGAGGATGGTCTCTTCTTAAGCTCGAATGTTACTACACCCAGAAAAGTTCTTTATCTCAAATAATAGCTCCATGCTTTTACTGAGACTAAAATGATGGTCGTTACGATAGGTAGTCGTGGTGACTAGAGACGGTCTTGTATAAAATCAAAGATAGATATTGGCGCTTCCATCAAGTTTGGTTAACATTTCTGAAGAAATGTTGTGAGAGGTTCAGGCACGGAGATGACTACTTGCTTGACAAAACAGGATAAAACCGACACACTAAAGTCACTAAAATGTCGCTCAGAAATCACGCCAAGCCCAATCGCTGAAGAGGTATTAAATACCTTGGAGATTGACAAAGCGTGCACTGAACGCGACTCTATTTTTGCTACATTTTGCTACTGTTTTACTGTGTTGTAAAGTGAAAACAAAGCAGGTCTTTGTATCTCTATATTGCCGTACACTATTACACTCGTAACAGAAGTATATATGCTGGATATGACAACGCGCCATCTATAATGGCATGTTCGACAGCGTTAGCTTCATGTTCATATGGAAAGTGTACACTAAGTGTATAGGAGCTTCTGTATTTTTGTTGGAGAGAATACAAGCTGTATTTTCAGAACATGATGTGTGCAAAGTGTCTCACTATTTCCGTGTGTTTGTCTGTCTCTGTATGTGGCACGGTGTAAATCGAATCAAATATACATGTAGCTTAAATCTGAGTCACATTTGACTGCCAACTACGTTCCGGCCTACTCGCGAACATCAGCCAACCACCAGCCAACCATTAGCGACATGTTCGCAAATTCTTTCAACACTTGCACTATTGAAGTGAAATATACCGAAGCCAAAAGGATATCTAAAAAGCCATAAAATGCCGGATGCTATAAGCCAAAGCGAAATTATCATATATTAGGCCACAACAAGTATGGATGACAATTTTATGGATGACATCCTCCGCAGACTCCAAATCTAATGCGATAGTGCGAAAAACTAGATTCTACATTTTCAAATGTTGACATCATAAACCTTGTTGAACAAGAAATGATACCTATATTGTGCTAAGTTCACTGCCAACTATTACAACATCCATATATATGTCACTGAAAAATAAAAGCAAAAGACAAAACAATAAATCAGTCCTCTCTTGTCTCCTCTCTTCATTATTTGCCATCCACGTTCCAGCATGATCACAACAGACATCTTTCCCATTTTCGGCATGTTGACCACTTTAAAAGGACAACAAAATTTCTTGTTTTCCCCCAAATCAGGCGAAAATTTAGCAATGACCGCGTTGATGTCATCCATAAAAATGACTTGCTGTGGCCTTATAATAGAAAATTTCGAATTCTGAGTCGACTCATGTGTAGCGAACTTGGCAAGATGTCACTCCCTGTGTGCCTTCAGAGAACTGTTATTTCAACACTGACCGTGCACTCTAGACTTGATTCTTGTTGCCATAGCAACTGTCACAACAAACACCAGTAACCAAACTTAGGACTTTACACAGTCAATGTTACCTGACAGATGATTGAAGTGCTTTGTGTAAGCGGTTTGTTGAACGTTATGTTTTTGCTGTATAGAGTAAATAGGGACCCGGTATTCACAGGAATGTCTGGAGGGAATTAATCATTTTGAAGTCCTAACTGTCATAAACATACATATATCCTGATGTTGAATACAGCGTATGCACGCGAGCATTAGGAATACTAGTATCATAGGTTAGCGGGAAAATTCAGGCGCAAAGTTCACCTTTTAGACAAAACGCCTTTTATACAAATTAGACAAGGCACCACAAGAGTAGAAAATTATAACCAATGCCCACTTCTCCTAACTTTGCAGAGCCTAGAGGTTGGGAAGAGTTTTAAGAAATGACTGTGAGATAGACCAAAAAAAGTTCGCTTGTTTGAGACAGTGTTGGAAGAATCGCGAATAAGTCGGCAAAGGTTGGCTGGTGGTTGGCTGGTGTTCGTGTGTAGGCCGGAAAGTGGTTGGCAGTGAAATTTAAGGTGGTCCAGAAGGATAGCTGAGGCATATTTAGAAATACTACGAACTCTATCTGATATGGTAGTCTTTTGGGTCTATTTTTATAATTTTCTTTCGTCTTGTCACTATGGCCACATTTTGGCCGCCAAATTGACCGCCAAATTGTGCATTTTTTTCACGCTCCAGCCAGGCCCCAGTGGGGGTGTGCACATTATTTTTAAAAGCTACTCCGCCGCTCGACCAATCAGGCTCGCTGGTCATTACGTAAACTGAGAGCTTCACTTTCATAATTTTTGGGAAGGGAAAAGACACTGGAAAAGAGAGTTTTACTGAGCGTTTGATGTCAGTTGTTTGCAAAACGTTTTGGGTAAAAACCTGCCAAATGCATAGAATAATAATTTTCTGAAAACACAAGCCGTTTCCATTGTTTATCACACTTCGTATCGGCAAAATGTTGTCAAGTTGCAACACACAACCAGAGATATGCAGCCACACAAATCACCAAAAACGCCAGAAATAATCTGACAACTTCCTATATAAAAACATTCGACTGCCAAAAGAAACGAAGCTGTCTGCTTCGAGCCACAAGTTAGATCTTGGTTTAGTTATGAGCGGCCTGGCGGACCGGGTCACTGCATGCATAAAGAGCCGCGCTTGCTAGTTCATACTCGGCCGTCATTATGCGGCGTTATCCTTTGTGTTCTTTCATGATTTTCACAGACAACTCATTAAGTAATTTTCTACCGAATAAAAACGCGTCTCTACCTGTGCACTGTCTTATTATTCTGAGTTTGTATCGACTGCAACACGTTTGTAACTACTAAACGTTAACGTTACGTTCTAGTGAACAGACATGATAAGAACTACTAGTAATTTTTATAAAATCTACGTTTTTATTAAAAAATACGATACTTACAAACTTCAGCAGAATTTTTACATAATCTTACGGTAACTGCTAACAATAATCTTTTACGATTTACAGCATACAGCAAATAGTAGCCGCTTAACAAAAAATCAGTTCCAACAGATTTACAGAGATAGTCCGTACTTTTCAGATAGAACATAGAACGTCGTGCGTGAAAATTATTTCCACAAGTCTAGGACAACGTGCAACGTAAATTCACATAATCAACAAATTATACTCGCTCATAATCCCATACCACGTCCGGGCAAGCTTTTTTTCCAGGGCTATCTACTCCGGTATCGCGCGATAACTTTTCAGTGTTGTGATCTTGCTGATCGTCAATCTCCTCTGGGGGTAGGCCTAAAAAACAGTCCGTAACTCCAGAATACCCCGGCAGATTTTCTCCAATAAGGTCTCAGAATAGTCCATAAACCTTCATCTGCAAATCTACGTAGGATACGGCCGTGAAAAAGATCGTCTACCGGCCCAAATGCTGGCGCAAAGCGCACAGCTTTCTCCGCTCGTAAACAAGCCACGCCATCCGCCATTTTGGGTGAGTCACGTGACCCCTACTCGCGCGAAATCTTAGCGTTCTTTTTGGCTGTTCTTTTTACTGGACATATCCCCGGCCTGTTTTCCAAATAGCGCCGCAGTAAGCTAAATACAGCGTGCTGACAGGCCAATGACCCATTTTTCGGTGGGAGGGATGGGCGCCCTTGGAATGGCGACAAAAAATTGGCGATTTCGGCTCTTTCGGGCTTCAAAATGGACATTATGTAACCCCTACGACATATACAGCATTTTAAGAATGAAACTGTGGAAAAAATGTTCATGGAAAGAGACAAAAAGGTGGTATTTTTTGAAAGATAATCTTATAAACTAAAATCGTATGCGAGGCCGACACACTGCGCCGCTTTATATGTTGGGGAGGGGTGCTGGCGCATGGCACTGTTGACATTTACGAAAAAAATTCATAAAAAATCAACACTTTGAGATATTAAAAAATGCTCGCATACGTTTGTTCCTATTACTAGTGTGTGCCTTTCAACAAAATATGGTGAATAAAAACCAAAGCGCTGGCCAGAAAAATTGATTTTTCTAAAAAGGGGGCGTGGCTCATAACTCGAGATGACGTCATGATTACGTCATCAAAATTTGCATAAATTATCATATTGCACTAAGGTACTCACACAAAAAAAATCAATGACCATAGGTAATCCTAAGTAGTATTTTTAGGATGTCCCCAAAGTCCTCAGCCACCCTTCCATACCACCTTAACACAGATTTCAGTTAAATTTGATCGCACTCGCACATAAGAGCGGTTGTCGGCACCGCGAAGTCCTCCACTCTGTCGGCTGCCAAGGCCAGACCGGCAGAGATATTCGTGACGCGCCTGGGTCCTGACACTCAGCCTAAAGACGTGGAAAGCTATTTGCGCGACAAACTGTCGCAAGAACAGACGCTCTCCTGCGAGAACCTACCGACCAAGTTCGACACATATTCCTCTTTCCGGGTTCTGATAGACAATGACGCTGTACCTGAGATCCTGTCTCCAGCGTTCTGGCCCTGTGGCGTGCTTGTCCGTCGGTTCCATGTCAGACGTCGTTCTGCGATCCAGCAGCCCTGACCATGGACAATAACCCTGATCATGATCCAAGAACACTGAAGGTGGCATCCTTTAATTGTCGCTCCGTTAAGAACTCCGCCTCTTGTGTCAAGGACCTGTGTCAAATTTCGGATATTGTACTCTTACAGGAACATTGGCTTTTGCCGAATGACTTGAATTTTCTCTCTTGTTTAGATAAGGAATTTCTATCATATG